GGTCGATCTACCTTCTAAACTAGGAAGAAGTCTATATGTGTGATCCACTTTGATATGTTATTAAATGTCCATCTCACTTTTTAAAGTATTTCCTCTGGCTAGGTTGTAGGCCATAGCAAAATCTAGAATAGCATCACCAACATATTTATTTCACCAAACTCACATCTTCCATGTACCCTTTCATATTATTTACTATCCTTCCCTTCATTAACAGGAGCTTATCATCTAATCTATTGACATTAACTACTTTATCTTTTAAATCTTCATCTATTATTATGCGTACGTCATTTCTATTATTATTCTTTCCTGTATACCAAAATTTATAACAATCTATTTCTTTAGTTGTTTTCTCGTTCCCCATAATTTCATGTATATAAGCTATGTTTACTCTCCTTCGTCACATTGTATCTATTAACTCCATACTTTTACCTGTAACTTTCCCACATTCTATGTGGCTAGACAAATTATATTCTCTTAGACTATCTTTTCTGCCCGCCTCATCAATAATATCTTGGGAACCTTGCCTATTTTCCACTGCAATAAGACGACATTGTTGTGTGTCGCATCTAGGGAATGCCTTAGCTAACCCTTGTTCATTTCACACTCTAAGTAGGACCTAAGATCTTAAAGGTTTAGTGCAATAGGTAATAAAAATGTGACGTTTTTCTTCTCTGAAATAGGTGGCCATGGATGCTGGAAAACTAAGATTTCTAAAGCTCTCAGTTAGGGTTTTTCAAAGACTAGGGTTAGGGTTAGGCTAAAGTAGGGGATTAGGGTTTCTTGAGATTGTGCGGCTCACTTTCTTTTTCTAGAGATTTGGGTGTGATATCAAGTTAAAAAACTTACCCAAATCGAGAATGAAATGCTAACTCATCTTCCAAGCAATTCGCCAAAGTATGGCAAGCTTATAGCTTAATGGACAATTAGAATAAAACTAAACTTTGTACTCAAAATTAGTTATGGGAAAGCTTTCCATGTTCTCCCTACAACATAGAAGTTCTATCTTTCCCTTATACAACCGTCTACTTTTTAATGGAGGGCTAAGATTGCCCCAATCACAATGTCACGTCTCTACATTATTTTATTTTTAATTTTTTTCTCTAAACTATTTTGACACCAAATTTTAGATGTCTATTCCTCTATCAAACTCGCACTAACGAAAAATATAAAAACAAGTATTTGCAATTAAATAAAATGACCAAAATACCCCATAAGTTTCAAGGATATTTTAGTAATTATTTTTATTGAAAAATTATTGTTAATATTTTTTATAGGTACGCCCCAATGAGAAGATGGCACGTATCAAATTTTCTATTAAAAAAATGTATTAAAAAACTAAAAATAAAATACTTTGAGACGTCGGATCTAAGATCAAATAGTGATGATAAAAAATGGACGGTTGGATGGTAGGTGGAGGATAGAACTTCTATGTTGTAGGGGGAACATAGAAAGCTTTTCCATTAGTTATTTCCTGTTTCCAAGGTCAATACTATTACTGTAAATTAAGATTCATGATGTTGAAAACTCTGAGCCATCCACTTCTCAAATAAAATGAATTCTTCCGACAAAAAGATTTTATACTCATGTGGGAGTATATTGTTTATTTGCTCCCTCAGGTAAAACACAAAATAAGTGAGTATAACCATAATAATAATAATAATAATAATAATAATAATAATAATAATAATAATAATAACAATAATAATAATAATTTCCGAATTAATTCAATTGAACTTTCCGAATTAATTCAATTGAACTCTCTACTTACTAAAAACACTAATATCTCAAAGACCACCCCCCCGACAAACTCAAAATCCAAAACGTTTCTTCTGAAAATAATAATCTAGTGATTCTTTGATTGTAAGGACCACAACTTTTCTGGACTTAAGACGCTCTCGGCAAAAGAGATAAGAGAAGGAAACACATGCCCGGCGCAAAGGAAGGAGGCGCACAGCCGTGCGTGTATAAGCTATCGTAGCGCATAAAAGTAAAGGAGGAATCACCGTGCGTGCAAGGATGCATCGCCGCATGTGCAGGAGGCAACGCCGCATGCGAATTGGACTAACGCCGTGAGTGTAAGCGTAACGTCAACAGTGTAAGAAGGCGTATCGCCAGTTGTGGAAGAAGGCGTATCGCCAGCTGTGTAAGAAGGCGTAGCAACGGCCGTGTAAGAAGGCATAGCGTCGGCTGTGTAAGAGGGGAGGAAGCCTAGCACCAATTGGAGCACCACCACGCGTGTATAAGGACCCATCTCCGGCTATGATCCCGCGCCATCTATGACATGGGAGAGCATCGCCGCGAGTGTTACTGCCACAAGTGAGCAGCGCCGTTCATGGAAAGAACGTAATGCCGTGTGTGGTTGGTCAATTTGTACAATTGTTAGCGCTGCCCTTGTCAGAGACGTGCATGCCAGCCACGTGGACCCTCACCTACCTTGTCAATAATAGTGAATCCCACCTACCCACAGGTACTTGAACCCCACTCTTCTTCGCCCTTCCACCATTTTTGCTCATCTCCCTCCTCCTTCTCTCAACTTTCTCCCTCTAGAGGCCAAGGGAGAACCCTTTTGCCGCTGCCATTGGGAAGCCTTGCCAAGAAGGTTGAAGTGGTCTGTGTGTGGATTTAGGAGCACCTTGGACATCAGGTAAGTGAGCCTAGCTATTATGAATCAATAAATTTTAGGAATTTTTGCTAAGCGTTGAAAATGGGGGAAAATGATAGGATGAAATTTATGAGCATGGATGCATTTGGATGAGCTTGAAATCTCAAATGCCATGTTAGATTGAGCCATGTATATCATTATATATGTGGTAGAAATGTGTGAAGTAGTTCACTTGTGGGAATAGTTTAATATGAACTTGGTTTTGCATCAAGATTTGCTTTGGTTTATATTGTGTTGAATGTTCTCAAATGTATGTTAAACTTGAGAAGGCAAATTTCCAGAACTATGATGGTTCTTGCATCAGGCTTTTCAGTGGCCAAACAACGTCTAAATGAACCCAAACCAGTTTTGAATGAATGATATGATTATCTATTTCAACTTTACTTTTTGCATCATCTTGAAATTTCTTATGTATTTAAAATTATGCTTCAAAATGTATGGGTATGTCACTGTTAAGATATTGTAAAAAATTCCTGAACGATTACTCTTTTCGTACCAAACTTTTGGCCTATCAAATGATATCCAAATTCTCTCCAAGCACCACCATTTGATAAATACAGGTGTCTACTGTGATGTTTATGCTTTAAGTCACTGTTGGCAGATTTCACAGTTGCTACTTCTGCTGTCGCACGTTTTGATTAACCAAACGAAGTTTGAATGCTTCCAAACCACTGCCACTTGAACGATATGTGTGGGTACAAAAAGTTGCATGTTGAACTCTTTTTGAAATTCTTGGTAGGTTGAGAGTTATACCCCAAAATGTGAGGGTATATCATTGTTCACAGTGGCAAGAAAATTCCAGCAACTGTCACTCACTTTGTGCCGAGCTATTGACCTATCAATTGTTGTCCAAATACCTTCAAACCACCATCATTTTAAAGGTTTGTGAGTAAATTAGAGTTGCATGTTTTGATCATTACGATATTCTCCTTAGATTGGGAGTAATGCTTCCGAGAAAGGGGGTATGTCACTGTTACATAACGTGGAGATTTTCAGATTTGTTCCTATAGTAGAATAAATGGTCTTACACTCAAACTCTGTTCAAATGTGTTCAATTCACTTTCAGATGAGCCTTAAGTGAGTCTATTTCAAAATTAACTTTTGAATCACACTAAAGCTCTCAACTATTTGAAAATAACGCTTTTTTCATGTGAGGGCAACACAGTTATGGATGAAATGGAATTATATTCACTTGTCGAACGATTCACTGAGGCTTTTAAGTAACAAGTGTAGAGAATGATAACTGATGAACTTAAATGTTATTGATTGGCCTCCCTGTGATGAGTGCTACATATTTACTATCATGGAACTATACGAATAATGCTATGAAATCGTGCAGTAAGCGATCATTTGATAAATGCGCATGTTTTGTGATATCCCTGTAATACATGTCGCATGAATGAGACTACGAGCCATAAATGTTAATTGACAAGTGTAAATGCCATGAGATAGCTCTCTTGTGATGGATGTCTCATGCTAGTGGCATAATGCACTTGTTAGTTGTATAATTCTGAATGATACTCAAACCTCGTTAATGAGACCAAAATTGTTTGTCATGGGGTACTGACTGAGTGCGAGTAAAGATTAATGCTCGACTATTTTGTTCTGATACTGTTATATTGACCACTACACATTGGTAGTGGGTACTATTCTGTTATGATACTGTGATATTGAGCTCTACGCAATGGGCCACCCATTGATAGTGCGATTGATGTGATGGCTGTTATGAGCTTTCTTTGGCATGCCTGGTGTGTATTGCATGCCAAAGGTTGATATGTTTTGAGAGTATTGCAGGGCCTATTTATGTGACTGATCTGGTTAGTTTTATGAGAAACCTTGGTATGCTTTGTGTGTATCGCATGGCCCAGATTGAGATTGAGGGATGCCTGCTTTGAGAGTATTGCAGGGCCTACTTATGCGATTGATGCCAGTGAGGTGCTTGCTTTGGGCGTATTGCATGACCTGATCATCTATTTATTGTGACATGGAATTGTGCTCTATGATAAAGCAAGAGTATACTCTGTTAAGATGAGAACGTCTACTATGAAACGTATTCGGTTATAGATGAATCAGTGATAGTGCGAAGTACATGATTGTTATGCACCATGATGTTATTTATTAGGGAAAGGTTTTCTGAACTATTACTTCTTATGATATCTGTTATTGGCACTGTAAATGTGAATGATGATTATTGTATTGATCGAATGAGAATTCTGATACCTCAAATGATGCCTGTAATTGATGCACTGATGAAATTCCTGATTTTTGCTTGATACTTATACTGTGATGGATTTATTAATGATGCTTAATATCTACACTTACTTACTGGGTTGTTCAGCTCATTCCATTATTTTACCATCTTTGTAGAGCTATAGTCACAGGTGGAAGACGCGGCGTAGTGGAAGCTGTTGATGGTTGGGATTCGGAGCCGACGAAAACACGCTCCCCCATTGTATGTTTTAGTGGGCAGTTTGGCCCTAGTTATAGTCTTTTGTGGAACCCTTGTACTGTTGGGCCCTGATGCCCCAAACTGAGCTGTAATATTTGTGGAAGAATTTTCATAGTGGATTTTTGGTGTATGAAAATTCTATTTCTAGATGTTCTTTTGCCTCTTTGAATCTTTATTATTACTTCCTTGCCATGGGTCTCTTTGTTTACCTCGTTAATAAAGCAATGAGCGCACTCTGACTTGAGTGGCATTCGCTACCTCTAGATCACGAACCCGCACCTGGTGACCCTCTGTCGAGTACGGCAAGGGCGTCGGGGGCGGGCTCGTGACTGTTATGGTATCAGAGTAGCCAAAATAGGTTCTTTGGCTGAGGGAGTTTTTAGGAGTGTGCTTAGAGTGGTTTTAGGATAGAGTAGTGACTGGGTCTTCCTATGACTAGGTTGAAGATGCCGAGAGTTTGTGGCTACCATGCGAGTTCCAACGACTATAACACTGAGGCCCTCGGCTAATTTTGTAGAACTCTAGGAGCTATGACCCCATTAATGAAAGAGTCGATGTCGACCTTATCAACCCCTACCCCAGGACATAATGATAGTAACCTGATAGAGACGTTTAAGAGGCTGACACCTCTAACTTTCTTAGGGCAGGGAAGTGTGGAGAAAGCAGAGAGATGGCTGATGCAAGTGGAAAAGATCTTTAGAGTCTTACAGTGCTCTAATGAGCCGAAGTTGAGCTTAGGTGCCTTCATCTAAGAAGGGGATGCCGAACATTAGTGGCGTTTGGTTCAGCAAGCCTGGGAAGAGAAAGAAACTGTACCTACTTGAGAAGGATTTCTAGAAGCCTCCAATGAAAAATATTTCCCTGAATCAATAAAGGAAAGGAAGGAGGTTGATTTCAAAGAGTTACAGCAAGGGAACCTAACCGTTGATCAGTATGTGGCCAAACTTTTAGAGTTGTCCCGATACGCACCGCATATCATCAACATGGAGGCTAGGAAGGCAAGCAAGTTTGAGAGAGGTTTGCGACCCAATATCAGAGGGAGAGTTTTGTCGGCCAATCTCAAGGCCTTCTCTCAATTAGTGGAATTGGCTAGGAGGGTGAAAAAAGACTGTGATGAATGAGGAAGGAGAGGCAAAGGATAGAACCTCCGCCCCCTAGGGGTTCACGAGAAAAGGGAAGTTGAAGGCGTGACAAGGCCCAAAAGACCTCCCAGGGTGACGTAAAGCAGAGCCAGCTCATACATTGTACCTCTTGTGGGAAGCAGGGCCATATGGCTTCCGAGTGCTGGCTAAAGACAAAAGCATGCTACAAATGTGGCATGTCGGGCCACCTGATTAAAGACTGCCCGACATTGAAGAACGAGCCCAAACCCAAGACTCATGGTCATGTCTTTGCATTCGATGGGAAGGAGTTAAGACCTCAACTTCGGAGAATTAGAATGTGTTTTGATTGTAATGTGAAATCCAAAATGTTGTTGGACCTTGTTTCTTCTCACCATTATTGTAACACCATATTTTGGCATATATAATAGAATTTGAACTATTATTATCTGACTGTGCTTAAATTATGTGCAACTTATTTAGGGGATCCTTAGAGAGCCTTTTTGTATGATAACTGTGTGGAACTTTTCTAGAGGGGTGCGTGCTCCCCCATCTAGTGAGAGCTAATACGTGCCCAGTGATTCAAGTGATAAGTGTTTATGTTGTGACCCATGTAGTCAATCTTGCAATGAGTAAAATGTGATGTGTGAAACATGGTATGATTGTAGTAAGAGCTACGAGGTTTCTTTGGAATTGTTTTTTAGCATACTACATGACCCTAATTGATATTGTCATTGTGTTAGTTAAGTGCCTGCTTTGAGCGTATTGCAGGGCCCGACTTTGTGATGATGGTAAGGTTCCTACTTTGAACGTATTGTAGGGCCTAACTATGAGATGGATAACAACGAGGTGCCTGCTTTGAGAGTATTGTCGAGCCTGGCATTGTGATTGTACCGTGGTGCTACTTTGAGCGTATTGTAGGGCCCGACTTTGTAATTCATTGTGGCATTCTTTGAGCGTATTGCATGACCATACTGTGATATGTGATTGATTGGCAAGCTTTGAGCGTATTGCATGACCATACTATGATATGTGATTGATTGGCATGCTTTGAGCGTATTGTATGGCCATATTGTGATATGTAATTGATTGACATGCTGTGAGCATATTGCATAACCATACTGTGATATGTGATTGATTGGCATGCTTTGAGCATTTTGTGTAACCATACTGTGATATATGATTGATTGGCATGCTTTGAGCATATTGCATGGCCATATTGTAATATGTGATTGATTGGCATGCTTTGAGCGTATTGCATGGTCATACTATGATATGTGATTGGTGACATGCTTTGAG